TTATCACAGGATGCTGTGTTGGTATGAACAGTAAGTAGCCATTTTTTACTTTAGAAACCTTATAAACCCTAGAGGAAATTTTAACAAATACTAACAAATACTTAAGTTACTCCAATCATAACTCGGAAAAAAGGTGAAGAGAGTTTAGGTCACCGTTGGACCTGACACAGAATGTGCCACACCACCACAATGACTTGTAACTATATCTTCCAAATTCCTCTCTAGTAAGGTAAGTACATGATTATCTTTCCCTGACTACATTACACTGCAGTTCTGTCTCCTAGATGGTCATAAAACAAATCACCCACTGATTCAATAGCCTATATGAAGAATAGCTGGAAAATTACATAGTGCATCCCAAGAGAAGAAATGTAATTTTCATCTGTATCTTTTTTTAAGTTACAGTACTCCTCTCCTCTGGCTGTATATAGATACAATATTGTTATCAGCAAATATATTTACATAATGCAATCAATTCCTAGTGAGACATGGTGACAGAGATATGAAACAATGATGTTCATCTTGCAAGCACAACCATTAGTATTGCAGGAGAAAAACCAAAACCCTTAATACACCCAGCCCTACACCTTGGCAGTGTAATTATTGGGAGCTCTGTAGCTCCACATGATCTATCTTGTTCATAGCATTCGCTTTTCAGTGTAATGATATAAATAGTTACATGAAAGAGATTGAGTATATCTGAACCTGATAATGCTATATAATCTCTTCCGCGAAGATCTAAGTATCACTATCAAGACAGAGAACAAATGCTAGAGTTGCAGTGTGACCTAGGATCTTTTATTGCATTTTGCGAGGGAAAGGATGGTGGAGTGTCTTTATAAATATTAAGGAAGTGACACAATGAAAATTCCTTTATAGCACAATGAAAGCAGATGTAAAGTCTGCTCCCTAGCATTGAATAAGATCAGCTCATGACCACCACAGAAAGAGAATAAAACAGTACAAAGCCTTTGAGAATGCTTCCAGCGCTTCCTGATGTTTAATGTATTTTTCTAACAACATAGATGAGAATAAAAAGAAAATACACACAAAATCAGAATGGTCTGGGTTGGAAGGGACCTTAAAGATCATCTAGTTCCAACCCTCATGCCGTAGACAGGGACACTTTTTACTAGACCAGGTTGCTCAGAACCCCATCCAACTGGTCTTGAAAATCTCCAGGTATGGAGCAACCATAACTTCTCTGGGCAACCTGTTCCTGTGCCTCATAGTAAAGAATTTCATCCTAATAGCTAATCTAATTCTGTGCTCTGTTGGTTTAAAGCCATTACCCCCTGTCCTAACACAATACATCCTTGAATATTCTTGATTGGTAGTTGAAAAGGTATTGAAAGCAATGTAGTTTAAACATTTCCTCATGTTCACCTATAATGCCCTTTCAGTTGCACAAATTGCTTGAGTGAATGTCTAGTTTTATTGTTTTTATATATATGGATATCTAAATCTGACATATAGATAAATAATTGGCTGAAAGCAGTTCTTACAGTCCTGTGAAGCTTCTTAGATTTACAGTCTTATAATTGAATTTCCTCAAGTATTATAAGTTATCAACTACCTCTTTACTCAATTCCGTTGTCTGCTTAAATCAAAGCTAACAAATATCCTTAGTACTATGAAAACTACAATTTCAGTCAATTATTTTCACAGCTTTCTGTATGCAAGAATGTTTTTTAAAATTGGTATAAAAGGAGTATGTTTTATAAAACAGTAACTACGCTAATTAAGATTAACTCTAATTTCAAATGAAAGATTTAAGCATTTTTCATTGTTCATAATAATGTATAATCTTGCAGTGAGTCAAGGCACTAAGAGTATTCTTGAAATATTATGACATCTAATTCTATTTTAGATGCTGGTCTTGATGGGTTTGAACTGAAAGGCACACAGGCTCTACTTCCAATACTTTCAAATTTAAAAACCAGGACAGTATTTCTATCCAGTCATGATGCAAAAGATAGATTGGTGTCCACCTGTTCAAATGACTGACTGAAAATGCACTCCATGGTAGACTTCAGCCTAAGGCAAATATGCTGTGATCACAAGGACTGATACTATTACTAAATAGCAAACAGTTTTAAACCACAACAGGTGTTAATTCCTAGACTCAATGACTAAAAACATTACATTCAGGAAGACCTCTTAGAGAATGAATGTCTTTGGTAACAGGCTACACTAATATGTAATCTAAATCCTGTGAGGAGGATCGTGTAATCAGTTTATTCTGCAGTCTCCTGAAGAACCTCACAACAAATCAAGAAGCTGCATTTCCTCCTCAACCCTCCTTTAAAGTTCTCCTACATTTGAAGGAATTCACTGTGCATACCCTAGTTTCACACAGTAAGACAGACCAAGGCTGCCTAAGTGGCCAATAATAAATAGCAAACATGTTGATGTGTTCCATCAGTTTAGGTAAGCACCCAACGGATGTAAATCTGTGTGGTTTTATTATGTCTCTCTTTCAGCCTGGAGTAGAAAGGAATGTAAAGTAGGCATTGCACTGGGTGTGCAAAAGCTGCCAGAAGAGCCCACAGAGCATTCCTGCTCTCAAAATAGCTTAGTGGATAACAGAGACAGCTCCAGATAATTCCAGATCTGGAATTAAGTGTACTGACTGTCTTACCAATAGAGCAAAGACAAAACTAATTTGACTGTGGACTTGTGTTACACTCAAGTGCCACATTCCGCATTTTATTAATTTACACAACAATACTAACTCATATCGGCTTGCATGATTTTATAGACGGACAAAATTTGACCACCTCTTCCTATTATTCCATTTACCTGCTTTTTGCAATGTTTCTCATATGGGTAGACTTCTGGTACACATTTGCTAGTCCAAACAATATAGAAATTGCAGTACAGTACAGTACAGTACAGTATTTCCATCTTTTTCAGAGACTTTTCAAGTTAAGAAATAGTCTCTATCCCTTTATTAATACAACAAAAACAGTCTCTGCTATAAGAAAACTGGACTATTGAAATACAGTTCACAGGTGTAAAGTTGAGGGGATTTTGTCCTTAACATATAATTTGTTGTGCAATCTATCTGTCTTTAAGTGTTTACAGAACCTTAATCTTTTTGAGCTGACTTCCTTTTTGTTCAGTTTGGTGCCAAAAAGAACATAAAAGATTCCATATGAGATTACACAGCTAAACCCAAAAGGAAAATATTAGGAACAAATATAATATTTTGAGGTTTCTTAGTTTGTTTTACTTTTAATACTGAGCAGACTGTTTACACAAATCATTTTGCTGTAAAAGTAACACATAATGAGTTAAATGTGTGCAACGTCACCATCAATCACATTCATTTGTGTTTGACCGACCAAACATTTATTGCACATTAAATCACTTTCTAATCACGTTATGAAGAAGGCGGAACAAACACACATTTCAAGCTTTCATTAAAAAATACAGAAGTTTCAGTACATTTTCCTGGCAATCTCCTGACTTGTGGGAGACTCCACTAATAGTATTTGCCCAAGGAATTTATGAAGGTCTGACAATATTTTCAATGTTCTTAATGAAAAGGGGTGAAAGTTCTTATGGGAATATTTCTCTTCAATATAGTCCTCTTTAGCAATTCTAATCAATGTAGCTGCTCTGCTACAATACACTTCTGATTCACAGCCACCACTCAGTAAGGTTTCTTTTTCAAGTTTTCAGAGTGAGACAGACATGAAAAAGAACATCCTCTCAGCTAAATAAACAAACTTTTTGTAATCACCAATAAGGTTGGAGTCTCATAAATATGTCTCAGTTCTTATACATTATTTGGCTTCAGATTTTAAATTGGTCAGATATCTTTGGAAGTGATGACGCGCATTTTACATGCCTAGAAAATTCATTCTTGGTTACGTGGCAGACATATTTTTAACCAGTTCTAACAGAGTGTTGCCATCTCAATGCACTATCTTATGGCATTTTTTTTCTCCTAGTGCCATCTGAAGATGATATTTGCAGTCACACAAGTTAAGGTATGTCTTGCACACTGCTCTGTTTATAACTGTATATAATCACAGACACAAGAGCAAAACTGACATTGATAGCTTCCTCCCAGTCTAATTCATTGCTATTTTTATGCTTATCTTGTGTATATAGAAATATAATCTGAGTAGTGCATTGCAAACCTGAGCCTACATCTTAAAACTGTTCATCAGTGAGATAGTCTAATCTACTACTGTACTGGAATTATTATAAGAATATGTTATAAAATAAGAAAACATTGGATTTAAGGTGGATAAGATAATGGCAGAAGTGGTTAGATATATTTTCTGGAAACATGCTAGCTTTACATTTCCAGTTTTTGACTTGTTTAAATGTTTTAGCTGCAAATCCAGGCCATAAATGTGTGTGTCTATAGTACAGTTCCCCCATACTCCAGTTTAACATTTTGTGAATCTCTCATTTTCTCACTGCAAATTTAAAATCACTATTAAAATAACTTGAATTAAGACTGAGGAGAAGCAAATACATGAATGATGTTGTGGGAAATTCAGGCTTTGGTTCTAACACATTTTCTTTATTTACTCACAGTCAGAGGTTCTCTAGCCACTTGATGTAAAAGACCAAAATGACCAGTCCCTTTTTCTGGGCACTTTGTTGCTATACTGGACTTACATAAATCATATTTTTGCTTTAGCAGCAGTGACTTTTCTCATACAAACATGTGGTTTGTCCAAAGTCAAGCAAAACCACCAAACACCAGAAATATCTCCCTAGTAATGGATGCTGCTATGGAAAATTATTTAAAGGCCAGACACTTGCTGAATAAAAATAAAAACATACCTTGACAGAATCTGGTTCATTGCCTAATTTGCAGGAGAAAACTTTTGTATGGGAATTGTGTGCTGTTTTTTTCAGTCTTACAAAATCTGTTAATGTCTTCCTATCTGCTTCACATTTGAGTCATGTTCTCTACTCAACTCTCTGACAACCTGAATTGCAGACTAATACATTCTAATGAGACAAGACATTACCTTTATGAATGACCTCATAGAGAAGAGGTTGGCTAACATTGTTGAAAGGCCTGGTGCCAGACAGCTCTGGGCTATGAAACCCAGCTTGAGCTCAGCAAGACAGATTGCATCATCCCCTTCTTTCCAGTTCCAACTTGGGATATTTAGCAGATGGGCCTGGAAAACAAATAAACAAACAAAATATCCCCCAGGTGAGTAAGCAAAGATACTTCCTGAAATATAGTATGGTATTGAAGAAAATAGCAGTGAATGATTTTCTCTGTTAATGGCTTAATGTTTTCTGAGTAGGTAGAAGAAGTTCAAGTACTTCAGAGCTTAATTCTATGCTAAGAAGTGTTCTGCTCTTACTTATTACAGACAAAATCTTACATTTCTCAAGACATATGCTGGCTTTGACACTCTGTCAGGCCCATCCTCACACCTGAACAAAGAGAATGCTGTAAAGTTTTCCTTCCCTTCTGTATATTCCTTCCACAGAACTTTAAGCTACAGTCTGACTGATAAGGAACATATATAGTATACAAGAAGCTAATACAACTTAGATTAGAACTCATGTGAAGCTGCAACCTCTATTGGACATTGTAATTTAAAAAGGCATAGAACATCTTCTGTCTTTTCTATTTAATTTCTTCCGCCCTGAAGGATAGCACTTGACAGTGAAAATCCGAATTTTTTTCTAAGACTGATTCTTATAAGGAGAAAAAAATAGATGATCAAGACACACATTGACACTGGTCAGTTATATAGGTATAAATATTGTTCAGTTATTGGCATAACTCTATTGGATTTTCCCTTACATGTACCTTCTACATTTGTATAGATGTAAGGAAACCCAGAGGCCTACATCCTTGTTTCCCTTCCTAAGTTAATACCACAGTTCAGCACTTTGATAAAAGCTATTCTTGAAGACACATTCACTGGAATAACAAATGAAAACTGCAGTATTTAAAAGATCTCTCCCTGTGAACCTGTTTAAAGCAGAGAAACACCTTGTTTCTCTTTTCTATAAAAAGACAGGCTTCTTCCATAACATACAGGAAGAGGACAAAGCAAGCAACAGTAATTGCTCTTGGTATAGCTAAAGGTTACAGGTGCAAGGAGCTGTTAGCAAACCTCCTTACTACAAGAGTTATTGTGTATTTCATTGAATGAAGATCTACCCAGTCAACCTGCTTCTCAAACAGTGGGCAGTGGTTGATGCTTTCAGAAATAATAAAAGAAGCAGGTCACATATGAGTAGTCTGTTCTCTCATATACTCTTCCTAACCCTGATAATCAGCAGTTTATGGACTTCCTCATCTCAGGATTGAATAAACTGACTTCACTGTGTTTAAAGTCCACAAATCTGCATCAAAAAATTTTCCAAATTATTTTCCAAAGTGAATTTATAATTTTGAACTCCACAGTATTTATAGCAGCAAATTCCACAACTCAGCTATGTTTTATATGAGTGTACATTATAGTAATGCAAATGAATGGAATACTATTATTTATTTTGTGCCTGCTGTTGGGCAATTTCAGGTCTACATTGTCATGCCATAATCAAAAAATCACAATAATCTCCCATAAGACAGTAATCACTACTTGGATTTTTGTTTTGGTTTGTTTGGGGGTTTTTTAATTATGAACAAAGAACCAACTTCAGATTAATTGCCTAGAGGCCACCAATCCATCCTGGGTAATTCTAGCATAATAAACTATGCAATACTTATAGAAGTTAGGCAGTTAAAAGCTAATCTGGAATCAATAGCAACTATGGACACTGTAGCTTTGAGAATTAGATCCTAGGCAACTAATAAATGTCAGGATTTTGATAAAGTCCCCTGCATATATAAATAAAACTGAATTGCTTTGCAACTAGATTACATGAAAAGGCTTATTAGGACGTTTTACTTTGGAAGAAAAAGGCTTACTATTAGTGGAACTAGTTATGTAGGAGTGAATGCAATGTAGCAAAAAACCGAAGAGAAACATTGTTGGTCATCATGTTACCTTATTGTGATACTGCAACATCTGAGTGATAATTCTTATCTTCGGATGATAATTCTTTATTGAAATTACTCTAAAAAGAAAAGGAAAAACTAATAAAGTACCTTTTAACTGATAGGATATTTAGATAATGCATCCAAATAACTCCACTGTGTTGCAAGTCCACAATTAAAATTGTACCCTCATATCCATCTGGCTGTAAAGCATATCGATTGAAGTCAGAACTATGCAATATATACACCTAGTCAAATTGAGATAATAACTAGTGGCTAATAATAGAGAAAAACAAACATCAGGAAATATTCAGTTGAATGTTTTCTCTTATGAAGTCTGCAGAAAAAGAGACTTGTTTTAGCAAATCTGTTCAGATATTCCATTTATTCTCCCAGGAAAATAATACATTTGGAACTATTATGTCATCTTCAGTGATTATCCTTCATGTCTTTGTATCAACATAATTGATCAAGTTTTCCAATGATAAATGTCTGAAAAAATCCCTTTCTTCCTTCCCCATCACATATTATTTATTTATACCTGCTCGACATTCATCATATTGAAGTACCTCAAATAATGATTTTACACACTCAAATTCATCTTAATTTTTATGGACTACTCCAAAGCTCAATATCAAAATTGATATCTGAATGCTGAATTTATAAAGTATGGGGTACTTTCATAATCTGCAGCTTCTCTGCATTCTTAATTACTTCATGAGCATAAGATATACTCAACTGTGTATAGATTTTAAGTGGATGGAAAAAAAATTGCTTGAGAAATGTTTGGATTGATAATGCACTACAAAAAAGCATTGAACAACATTAAAGAGATGAACAGGCCAAAAAAATCAGTTTTGTATTTACAAACTAAACGTAGAGAAAGAAGATAAAACAATTTAAAAAAAAAATTACTTATGGTACCATCAGTCTTATAAGACTGAATGCCATAAGTGTTTACATCGGTGTTTTGTAGAAAGTATCTTGAAAACTGCTAGTCTGGCTTGTGTTTTGAAGCATATCAAGGCTAGAATGGGAAACATAAAACAATTGCATTACTTTAACAAGTCTTTCTTCTAATTTTCCCTTTCTCACTGAGTTGTTTAATTAAACATTCAATTTTTTGAATTAAATTGTGAGAAAACACCAGAGAATTCCACTTTCAAATTACACTTTTGCATTTGATTACATTAAATGTATTAAATCTTTTAAGAATTCACTAATCTCCAACTGGAATATCTTAATGTATTTATGCAATCAATGTCAAAATAAAGTTTCTCGCATTGCAACCCACACCAAGCTTGTAAAATGAAATTAGGCATATTTAAGCCCTGCATCTTCCTCAGACAGCCACATCTCTTGCACGCAGTGAAAGTTTTCCAGAGGAGCAATTTTATAACTCATTTTTTATTTCTGCCCTTCCTTGCACAGCGTGCAAACGTCTGACAAGCCAATCAAATCTGTTCATAACACTGGCCAATCCAATGATAGAGAACTTCTAACGAATCAATCTCATTAAAACAAGAGCAGGATGAACAAAACATAAAACATGGAATGGCATGGGTTTGTTGTAACTCTACTGATTGGCCACCTACTGACTGACTGTTTCATCTCCTTCCTTCAGAGACTTCAAGGAGGAAAGCAGGAGGAGATTAGTGGTCCCTATGGCTTGTCAATCAAAAAAAGTAATGAATGGTCTTCAGCATAAAAAAACCAGGATGGAGATAGGAGACCACTCTACTGTATATTTTGCTATCCCCTGAGCAGCACATTGCTTGTAGGAGCAGATATACCAGGGGGAAGTAAGGTGTGAAGTGATGAAGTGTTCTTCTGTCCCATCATTAATAGCAGCCCGTGTAGTACATGAACTCTCATAACATATTGTTGCAACAACAGAACTGCATTCCCCTTCCTCTCTCCATTCAGCTATGAATACTCAACCTAGGTCCTGCAAAATTACTAAGAGTACCAAAGCTTGTGCTCCAAGTGTCTCTTCTGAGGCACAATAAAGCAGCCAAATCAAACAGTTTAGGTAGGAATTGAGGATATTCTCACCTCTGAACTTTTGTGACACTTTTAATTTGTCAAAAAAAAAAAACTCCTACAGTGTTCTTTAAGTGCAACAGATCAGAAAATTATCTAATCTGAGTTAAGAACAAAAAAGCTATTTAAAACTCCAGAGTTTACCTCATAATATTGGAGGCATCTTCAGCATCTGGGTCAGCGCAGTATTTATTGGCAAGGATTAGGCACGCATCTGCTGACTCTATCTGAGACACCAAAGAAAAAGAAAACATGTATAGCAACATCTCTTTCCAGCTCTTCTTTCATCATAAAGTATCAGGGAATCCAGCACTGCCATTGTGAGTGTGAGTGTCAGTTCTTAATACTGCTAATCAAAAATGTTACTAGGCTAATGTGAGTTAATGTGAGTGATTATAACTGCTCTCATACACACACAGTAGTTCCTTGAAACTCGATTATGATGATCAGAGCAGGTTAGTAGTTCAATTGTCGACTCTTACTTTGTATCAGCTGAGCCATGAAGGTGTTAACATTAATGTTTGGTGACCAGATATTGGAATTTAGATCTCTCAATCCATACAAACTTCCTGTTACATCAGGACAGTGCTCCCACGAGTCCTGCAGCTTTCTTTGGGAATTTAAGTACCTCCTATTATAGACAGGAAGAGGAGGTTGAACTGATGATTTAGAATCTGAGTACCAGATTTAGAAAGTAAGAGGAAGACAACTGACCTGTTCACAGGATCTCTAGATTCAGAAAAACCTTAGCTTTACAGAACTCAAAGCATACGAAAAAAGTATTTTTCAGTGTGTATAACCAACTATCAACACAAATAAGGGGGGAATACAGAACACAAAATATGAACACACAATTTTATGGTCATAATTAGAACATATTCTGATGAATTGAAATTGTGTGCGTTGGGCTACAAAAGGTTAAGCAATTTCTGCAGCCAAAATGGACAAAACATGTGATTGGAACCCCAGAAAGGATTAACAACATTGTGCTAAAATATTCTTGGCTTAAGTAGCCAGTTTACATTCTGCTGGGGTTAAAAAAAAAAAAAGAAACAAAAAAGTTACTAATGTATCTGACAACTCGGTTTTTCCTTAAAATTTTTTAATCTTCATGCTTTGCTTTAAGAGTACAAAAAAATTTACCATTTAGAATTCTAGAAAATAAAACTATCTAATTTTAGCTTAATTATCCAAAAAATCTTAAAATGTATTTTTCTTTCAGTATTCTAGACAATATAAAAAGGTTCAGGAGGTGAAAAATGAGTATTTTAAGCCACTACTGTAAGACAATGTTCTGCTATATCAAACATTAATGTAAAATAGACTCTTGAAACCTCAGTGAAACATTCATAAAGAGTTTAATGGAATGGCAGACAATGTGTCTTAAGTCATTGTTACTGTAGTTTTGAAAATCTAAAGATATAGGGGAAAAAAGGTTTACAAGGACAGACATTATAATTTATTAGTCAAGCTAACAGAGATGGAAAACCAATCTTTTGGGGTTACATGAAGAAGGGTTTTACTGGTTTTTTTCCAAATAATGCAATGAGTACTTTAAAAAAGTCAATTAGCAGGAGAACAGAACAACAGAGCTGTTACCTTCACTCTCGCCAGGTCATGGGGATTAAGGACTGAACCCTGATAAAATTCCACCTGAGTGAAGTGTCGTTTAAAAAGAGCTTCCAGCTCAAGGTTAGGGGAGATACTGCATTGGGAAGAGGAAGAAAACACAAGCGAAAATGAGAAATCAGCTTCCATAACTGTCCCATTTCCTTCATTTACAAACCCACCCATTTATTACTTCTGTTGATGCTTTTCCTGTGATGTGGCAACAGTGTGCAATACTTAAAAGATAAACACTATATTGCTTTCACTTTCTTATTTTTGTCCCCAGTGCTTCTGGCTCACTTCATTGTGCTACTATCCACGTTCATCCTTTGGCAGTTTCTCACAACTATGAATGCAGAAGTATGGGTGCAAACATTTGAAAACATCCTCTCACAGTTTTCTGCTTGGAATTTATCTAGTAACACAATCATCCTCTGCATGTCCCCACCATTCTCAAAATGGCAGACTGCATGAATAAAAGAGCTCAATGTAAAAATCACTAAAAACCAGAAAAAGAAACCCTCTAGGAATCCTGTGGTTTGTGTGAGCTGCAAATAAAACAGACATAATGATGCTGTGACCTTCTGTCTCATTTCATTTTGCCAGAAATAAAAAAAAAAATTAAATGGATCACAGTCAATTACATAATGTGGCAACAACCTTGTAAATATCTGTTCTGATGCCACTCATTAAAACAGAAGGGATTTAATAGCTTCACAGTAAGTGCATGAGACCTTTGCCATGCCAAATGCTAAATTTAATAGGAAAACAAAGCAGATACATGCAAGTATTTGTCGGTGAAGGTACAGAAGAAAGCAGGCACAAACAAGTAGCAAGGTGCTAAACTCCTTTCACGTGAATGTGCAGTTTCCTGATTCCTATCACCATGCACTTTCACTGTGGAAAGACCTTTGATTTTCCCTCACAGTCACTTCTTGTTATTATAGAGAGAGGGGATGCAATAAATGATGTAGTTACTTGAGGATATTATCTCTAGTTCAGTTTGAAAAGACTAGATGATAAAATTGTGCAAGTGCTGCTGACTCTTGGTTTTCAGCTTCCATTCTTAAATCATCACATATGATTCCTTAACTTTTTAATCGTTTTCTTTGACAAAAAGTGCCGAACGTGCTCTGAACGCAAAAATATTACTCGTTCATAGCTAGCAACACTTTTAAACAGATGCCATTCCAGAGCAGAAAAGACCTTTTCATACTGTCTCCTATCACATGGCCTTTTCTAGCAACTTCTCCCCTAAGCATTCCCGTTTGATGTTGTATTACACATAATGTAGAGCCCGCAAGAAGCAACAACCACCTTCAGGCACTTTTCCAAATTCCACATCAGAAAAAGGCAAGAGACTATGTGTATGTAGGTATGTATATATGGGTAAAAGAGCAGAATTGATTATCAGTGTGATAAGAATTTAATTTCTATCTTCGACATATCTGTAATGTATCTCATTTATATTAAAATTAAATCCACACCTACATTTTTCTTTTTATAAATACTTTGCAATATGAAATAAACATTTTTCCTAGGCAAATCCAAGGTGAAAATGTACTAGCATAAGTTCATATGACATACAGTGTTTTTCTTTAGTTTTACTAATGTTAGTAATTTAGGTAGTTTCTTCATAAATATTTACCACTAGAAAAGAATTCTCCCATATATTTATTAGTATTCCAATATTTTTTATTTCATAACTCCACTCCCACTTCAACAACGCATTTAGCTATCTACCTCACAGATGACACAACTGGGTCTGAAGTCTATCTGCTTCAAATACGTATACCTAACAATGTGTTATCAAAAATGTAGAAAACAACTATTTTTCAAAACATATTGTTAATAACAGCAATTGAAAACATTAATTTTAAGGTTATTTGGAGCTTGAAAGATTCTCTGTCTTCTCATAAGATCAGGCTTAATTTAAAGAGCTTTAGTAATTGATGATAAGACTAATCTTGAAAGATTACTCACTTATGCAGAAAGACGATTTCTACGTTGACATCATCCCTATCCTTGTGCAGGAAGTCCTTCAGGAAGTTGGACACGCTTTCAAGTGTTATGTGACCACAGACAACTATGTGCCTGTTACAGAAAAATCAGAGTTAATCTTGCAAAGAAGGTAATACAAGCAAGCAAGAAAGCAGAAACGGAAAAGATCCTTCTTGACGTTTCTCTAGATTGTATTCCATGAAGTCAGAGAAGGAAAATATCACTTCCAAAAGGTATTTTGCAATTGCAAATATATATACACTGTCACCTGCAAAGCCATTTGGACATGTTGTATTACACATTTAACAATAAGCGGTATCAGTCATAATATAAGTCTATACACCATGTTAACCAGTCCTTCTCAAAGGCATATTTCTTTATTTTACACATCTCTCTCCACATTTTTACCTCCTCTAATGAAATTTATTGGTCAGTTTTTTGGTTTATGACAGCAAATCTCGATATTTTTCTACAGTTGAAGCAGATATTTATGCCAATGAAGGCAGTGCAAAGATTTTCAATTATAGGTCATAAGCAGTAAAAAAAATATTTTTCCTACCATAACTCCTAGAAAGAAAGTACTTTACAATAAGAAGTCATTACTTATTTCACCATTGCAACAGATTGCTTAGAAAATCAAAGTTTGCATAGATTGTGATGTCACAAAGGTTTCTACTGCTCCACATTTTCATTACTAGATGTAGCTGACCATGGAAGATGGAAGCACAACATATACCTACATACACATTCTTGAATTCTACATCTTAAATTCTGAAAGGCTGAAGGAAAGGCCTAGGAAATTGCACTCTTTCTGACTTAAGGAATCTTTGCTCCCTTATTATTGTAAAAACAAAGTCTAAAAATTTATGATTAGAATATCCCAAAATGTCTCACAATTTCCTTCATGGAAAAAAATAACAACCAGCTTCTATTACTCTCATGGCTTCAAGACAGATAGTGATTTTTGTTAAGCCTATTGCTAATACTTCTAATAACCACATTGCTCACAGAAGTCAGGAAGAGGGAAAAGGTGCCATAGATACCATTTTTGAAGTAACAGAAAATCACCTTCATTACTGTCATATAGTCTATGCACAAACACACAATTCTGCACTTGTTTGGCACTTGAACTACTAAATGTGAAGCAAAGTAATTCCAAAGATAAGAAGTAGACCACCCAAGTCTCAGCTACTTCATAATTTTTCTGTGGAAAACTCAGTAACATAGAAACCTCATTGTCGGGAAACAACAAATAATATGTAGCAGCAATGATTACCTATGTAATGGACTATAACAGGAGTCTTTCCTTGCTTCATAATTTGATCCTTGATGAAATGTGTGTGAAAAGTACACCAAACTCATTGGAAAAGGGATAACTATGCAGAACAAATCAATAGTAATAATATGCACCATGCAGTGAAAACTATCACTGTCAGGTACTGTCACTTTTGCAGTGTCTCTGACAGTGACTAGAAAAGCAAAACACGATAAACTGTTATACCAGTCCAGCAGACCTCGTGATATTGTTTACTATCATCACTTTTCTGGCATAGCACAGTGTTAAACATTTATATAGAAATATGACAACATTCCTTTTGAATGAGCTCTTAATGACAGCACCAGGACTCAAATGCAATTTTAGAAATTGCAATAGTCTAAAACTTCAGTGGTTTCATTCTATTTAATAGGTAAGAAATCAATGTCTATAGGAGACTATGAATGTTTATTGTTAAACTAGCTAATAGTGTCTGCTTTGCTTTTTTTTTTTTTTTAACAGAAGTTTCAGGTGCAGTAAGAGCACAAAGCACAAAGTCCTTGGACTGCAAACACTTAAAAACACAAAAAACCCTGAGTTAAAGTCTTCCTGTTTTATGAGGTGGTAAACACAGTATAAGAAAACAAGATGTAAAATATAATCAGGTCATCCTTTCTTCTTGGTGCAAGAAGCCCTTAGGAGGTTTCTTCTGGGAGCTTTGCAAATTGGCAGTTTCCAGTAGGCTCTGCCCTGCCTCTATTAGCCCTACCAGAAGCACTCTTTCTCTGTTTCCCTAGTGGTCAGTCGTCTGAATTGCCGGAGATGGGCATTCACGTGTGTTATTGCACTAAGGGTATAAGTAGTATATCAATGGAAATGGAAAACCTCAGGAAATTTCAGATTCTGAAGAAATGTTTAAAACCTTAGTAGTTTACTAGATCTAAATTCTGAACAGACTGTGTTTGATACACTACATTATAGTAACCTACTGGGAAGCTCTTCCTGTCTAGTGGTACTCAACACTTTTTTGTAAGTGTAAACCCATCTAGCACCAAAAACCTCAATGGTCCAAGAAAATCATAAATAGCAGCTAAAAATATATTAATTTGTATTCCTTGTACTGTCTGTACACATTTTCCAAGATGACAGATTTTTAACTATAGGTAGTTTTCTTCAGATATTTCCAGCTATTACTAATTAAGAAACTGAACTTTCCATTTGCATAGTTGAAGCATTGTTTTTGGTAGCAGAAATAATTTCCCATGGTAGGAAACTCCTTTGTACAGATCCTGTGCTGTTGGTTTTAGCAGAATCTCTTCCTGAGTGCTCTTCTGATACACTGCATTCCTGTGCAGAAAATTTATCTCCTTCTTGGCTGATTTCACCTAATATTCATTCTTTTCTGTCATTGATTAGAATCCACACTTTTAAAGTATGGTTGTGGAACCCAAAATATTGCACTGCAGAAGAAATCATGATAGTATCAAAAGACTACAAGATAATTCACATTATAAAATAACTCCAGAGGTTATTTACTACAAAAAACTCCTGCTAAAAGCAGATGCAATTGGTACAATCCTGTTCTGACTCTCACTGAGTAGGGATTCATAACAATCTGCTACAGTGAAAGTAAAACATTTGCCTGCCAAAAAGTCTTGCATTTGGACATCGAGGCTAATTCCTTTTGAAGTGTTGGAAGGCATCTGCACTATGGTTTCATTTTTTACTCTGATTTAGAACTGGGCATGACCTATTCTTCTCTTCTTTGCTGTTCTTATAATGTGCAGGGCAGTGTTCTGAACAGTGACTGCAACTAAACTTCCTGGCTTTCAAACAGTATTTTCTGATGAGATATTTGCATTAATTTTTGGTTGAAAACCCCCACCAATAAAACCTTTCTTTAACATAAATTATATTTTTTGCTTAGAAGTAGACGATATCGAAAACAGATTTCCTACTTGCCCACAGAGAGTTTTTAGGTACATTATTTAAGAAAACTTGGAGAGCTTATATTGTTCCAATCTGTCCTGTATATGATTTAAAGATTTATAACTTCCTCTGTGTGTTTCAATAACCATTCCCTTCCCTTTTTTTTTACCACCCATTTTTTTCCATGCACTGAGACTTTAAGTAAAGCCAACACATACTGGATAACTTTTTTGTTGTGAAAAAGAGTTGGTTAGTAGAAAAACATTGTATGAAAAATATTGGGTCAAACAAAATGCCTAACATCTGCATTAAGCTTTTTCTTATTAAAAGGTTCAAAAGTAATACTCTATTGTGCTTTCAATTTTTTTTTATTCTTTAAAAAAAACAAAATTTAGACTTTTCCTTACCATACTGAAAAATATGGTTTAGGAATTTAGACATTTTTATTACTGATGTGTATTTAGGAGGACTAAGGTTTCTCTCAAGTAATAGTTGTCATTGGTATCATGTATTAGAGGTGAAAATGGTTTAATATACCACTGGGAGTCCATATTACCAGACTGTGATGCTGCAATAGAAATCTTTTACAAAGAATCTAAAGCTTATCAGGAATAATATTCTATCAGCAAAAATGGACTAATCCATTCTCTCCCATATATATTTATCATCCTCAAAATTAATTTGAGAAATATTAAAAAATATGAAGATATTTCGAATACAAAAAATTAACACAGTTGTACACAATTTTGTACACAGTTGTACACAACTGTGATTCTAAACAGCTGAAATTCCCTACAGTACCTAATTTTTTTCCTACTCAAGTACTGACATAATGATACATTTGCTAAAAATACTCTAGCTTCTTATAAAGTAAACAAAATATGGTGATATAGGATCCTAAGCTACCACAGATACAAACTATTTTAGTAAGAAAAAAAATGAAATAAGCAAAAGCTAAAACATCTAGATTTCTGACATGAGATAATTGAGAGCATACACTTAATCCATGTAAATAGCACTGTAAATGAAAACAGATCCACTGTGAATGGGATTCTTTACAAATGATCTTTGCATGCTTCTTCCTTCAGAGGATACAATACAAAAGGCAAATCTCTTGCCTGTTTATTTTGAAAGAAATTATATCCATTTATTGGAACAAGTATAAAGAACTTGAAAAAATTCACTCCAACTACTCTGTCACAATAAATCAAGTATAATAAATACAAAATTCTGTTCAGTTGAATACTTGGTGTTCACTTGTCAAGTAACTAGAAGAAGTGTGGTGCATCTAGATGTCTCTCTAAAATTATATTTATATCAAATACATATGTTCAGATGTCTTCCTGGTCTTTCTGCTTAGCATTCTGGTTGTTCCTTCACCTATTGACCATCTAAATTCTTTGCATATATACCAGTAGCAGACTGCTGTGGTTGAAGTAAACAGGTTCTTGTAAAGTCTAACAGGCTTTGCTCAAAAAAGGATGGGTCTCAGTCTCATCTTCTTATTAAAAAAAAATAAAATTAATAAATGTTAACAGAGACTGTGTATATGGTCTGGTTGTTTATCTATTAGTGGTATGCATTCTTAAACATAACAGTTTACAATGTTTGCAGCCACTTGTGCTTTTCCTGGTTTACCTAACATTACTCAAGATTCTGTTAATTCAGCTCAAAACTTTATGCATGTGCTATGTGTCTTTCTCTTATTTCAATATAAACTCCTCTCTCAGATTAATACTGTTAGAGTAATAAGTGCTGTGTAGTCACAGTTTGAAGTTTTTCTCTTTTTTTCACAGAAGACTTGAACCCAAGGATGATGGTCCTCTAAGGATCAATTATTTAGTCAATGTGTATAGTTAGTCAGAATAATATGTTATAAAATTATAACCTTTAAAAAAACTTGCCTATG